AGCTGCTCAATAGCCTGCTTCACAGCTGTCAGACGACAAGGGGAAGACTGGCGCCTTGCCTAAGACCAAAAGAGAAAAAAACGATGCTTGATTCATGTATGCACTCTTCGTTTCCTCAAGCGAAACAGGTTTAGTGAGGCTCGGCAACGGTAGGAAGAACGACGCAATGCAAGAAAGGTGAGCCGATGCTGAGTTGAGATGGTTTGTTCATCCGGGTGGCCGCAGACAAGACGAAACCGCCGAGAAAGCCTCTGTTTATGCCGTTGTTGTACTTCGATATTAGATAACACAATTCATGGGCCAAGCGACCAGACGGGCTGAAATCATCACGCCGCAGACAAGGGAAGCTTGCCCTTTCCAGGCCCCGAGGCGGACTTGGGAATGCAATCATCTTCGATTGGGGGACGGAGTGTTGTTTGCCTCAAGACGACAAGGCCATTCATTGTGCCACGTCCGTGTTCCATCCCTTGGCTCCGGTCTGAGACATGGTCGGCTTCTGACGCTGGAGGGCAGCACAAGGGGAGCCCGGAGGATGAAGCAGAACCCGTAGCATAACTTATGCGGAGGGATTGGATCATGGAAGGATTTACCAATTGAGCGGACCGTATATAATAGTAATTTTCCTAATGTCTGGTACATACGACCATAGGTGGTAGAAAACTCGGGATCCCGTCCGCTCTCCCATAGATAAGCTGCCAACCGACAGATTAGTAGTTGGGTCGGTGACGACCAGCGAACACCGGTTGTTGTATGTCACAATATCTTTTTGCACGCCGTCGGTTCTCAGACATTTTATCTTTGTCGTTCTCAAAACTATTTCTTTTGGCTGCGTGACTCGTGGGTCGCATAATAAAGCTTTATCATGCTGCGCCCAGCTCTTCGACCATATCGTCTTAGAAATATGTGCGGGTACAGTACGTGTTAACGAACGTACTTTGCGTCGCACAATGCCTCAAAGAGGTAGACAAACGAGCCAGAGGCCTTCTCGATAGTTTGCGCCCCTTTGACGAGCCAAATGCGACTCAGTGTATACAAGTTTCGTGCATCAAATCGTTCTCTTTTACTGGACAGGTGGTGCTGCCTCAACTTCTTCTATTCCTAGCCGCCCACATACTCCAAGTTCTAAACAGCTTGACGAATGCATGAATACATGGAGTGTGCCTCACAATGTCCCTCATGTCAAGATACGACTACGGGATATGTACCCCCATCCGCCTCATCACATGGTATTCTACCGACTTCCGTCGCATCTAGGAAAGCCGCTCTCTCTTCAACGTCCTGGTTTGTATATTTTTTGGGGGGTTTCGTTTTGTTTACATTGATTGGTGCCGCTTATGCTTTGTCCAAACGCACTGCAGGGCTATTTCGCATGAAGTTCAGATCGACTTTGTGACCCAGCAATTCGCGAATGTTGGAAATGCCGTATTTTATCATGGTGGGTCGTTCAAGAGACAGGCCCCAACCGAAGACTCGCATATCCTTGCTACACAGGTAATCAGCATCGCCGACTTTGGGAAAATAGAAGCAAAGACTTGGCCATGACTTACGGAAGGCCCATGGATTCCAGCATTTCAGGTCGGAACATGCCGCTGTTGCCGATTTCGACTAGCTTCCCAAGACCCTTGTCTGTCACGGTGTTAGCGATTGTTTCCAGGGCGGCAGAGAGGAGAGACGTACGATAAGAGAAGATTTCCATGCTCGGTTCCGTGTCTATTGCTCATGTTAGTCGACGTCATCACGAAGAAAAGAGGTCGCGATGCGGGCCACTTACAAGGGTTGTAGGCACACTTGTATTTAAGATCGGTGATGCCCATCTTGCCGAAGAAAATATCCATAAACTGTTACAGTCAGTGATGTTGTTCCTACGCGTCTGACCTAAGCAAGGCAGTGTATTTTGAAATCTTACCTCCATGAGACCACCCAAAGTCAGGTCATAATCAGCAATGACACCTTCGACCTGATGAAACTCTGCCAAGTGAGTGGCGTCTACAGTCTCGTTACGGAACACACGATCGATGGAAAAGTATCGAGCGGGGGGTGGGCGGCCGTCAGGGCCTTTTTGCTGGGCCAGTTTATGCAGCATATTGGCACTGATGGCAGTGGTATGCGTCCGGAGCACCAGCTTTCGAGTCTCCTCTCCAGACCAAGGGTATCGGTACCCTATCGATCCGTATTTGCCTTCCTGAGCCATGAATCAACAAAGAGGTTCTCCGTGCAAGTATTGGGTCCATATCTTGTCCTGGCATACCTGGTGGACCTCCTGCACGTTGTCCCAATAAGCCTTGTAGTCACCTTGGTCATTGCCATCCTCTGCTCCGGGCATATCTGCCTCCTTGGGATCAGAGACATAGAACTACAAACGCCTATGGTCAGCCTCTTTGGTGGTCGCTTCGCAAATTTCGAATCAGGTGCTGCAGTACGTACAGTGTCTTGCATATCACGGGCAGGATGTTGTTGCGGTACAAAAAGCGCATCAAAGTTCCAGAAGCCAGATTCAACGAACCTGACACCAAGTTAGCAACTGACAGGCAGCGTAGCCAAAAATGGCAACATGGCCACAACTTACTTGTCTGTAGGCATCTCCTGGAAACCCATCTCAAAAAAGATCTGCCTCAACTCAGATCGGACCTTGCTTAGAGGATGCAAAGCGCCAGACTGTTGATCCGCACCTAAAGCCTTGAAGTTGTATCCCTTGAAATTGGCAGTCTTCCATGAGCCGCTAGCAATCATGTCGGCGGTCAAGTCGGTGGCGACTTCGGGTATTTTGAGAGCGAACTTGTCAGCCTTCTCAATTTTGAAACTGATAATCTTCTGGGTTCGGACAAGCTTGCGCTTCTTCAGATCGGCCAGCATTTTGGCGTCGGGACATGATCGCGTCGACTGAATCGTCTGCATCTGCTCTTGGGTCGTGTCTTGTACAGATTCTTTCTATTGAAGGGCTTCCACGTCAGCCACCATTCTCCATCCAAGCTGCGCGAATTCTCGTCATATTTGTAGATGTACTCACGGCCGCTTTGAATTTCCCATCTGCGACAACAGTCGCGTTAGCTACCATCTCTGATATGAATGCGACAGCGGATAGGCAGGTAGTCTCACCTTGGGATTTTGAAATCCATTTCTCCCTGAATGCTCTGCCTTGGCCAATCTTGACAACATTCTTGTCACCAATAGCCTTCTCAAGCTCTTGTATGGTCAACCCTTCGACAGCAGCCCGCAGAGCCTCAAAAACGCGAGCCTCGTGGCTGCCATTGGTGGCAATCTGCTCGCCTTCAGGTTCCAGGAGAGCTTCTTCACGGTCAATGGTCTCGTATTTGACCATATCACGCGAAGCAAGTCTGTCGAGAGCGCCCTTAACTTCGGTAGAAGGTATCGCGGGGAAGGCTTCGGTGGAAAGGAGGGGCGATTTCTTGTCCAGCGCATGGAGGATCTGGTGAGCAAGATCCCCTGCGGGACTACTGGTCTGTGCCGCCATGATGAATTGAAGTCGTATACTTCGGACAAGGCGCTGCGAGGTGCCAGCGGCGAGGGATCGTTGGTATGATGGTTTCTTGTTCGGGCAATGGGTGGGATCAGATCACTTGAGTCACACCTCACCGTCTGCCAAGTCCCCTCAGAATTTCGCCAGCTGCCCCGCCAAGTGTCCGTCCAGCTCCAGGTGGGCCTATATGTACTGAGTACATACCTCCTCAGTACCCAGGTAGTACCCCGTCTACATGCCACCCGAGTTGCCTTAGGTATTTAAAAATGCCCAATACATACGTACATACGGGTTAATATACAAGTATGTACGGAGTACGTCAACGGCAGTAGTTACTCCGTATGTTGGGGAGGGAACAGGGTACATACATAAAAGTACTAGAGTGGGATTTTGTGAGAAGACGTCAAAATCTAATGGTGAATTTGTCTGTTGAACAAGTAACGATAGATAGGTTACATAGGTATATCTATCGAAGTAATTAATAATGTTGGTCTAGAAAAGGATGAAAGGACTAGGAGAATGGCGGACTTTATACCCATACATACGCTCTGCGCTGTTGACTCCTCAAAGTACCTAAGGTAGTGGTCACCTCTTGCTCACTTCTGTCACGGTGTCACCTGTGGCTTACAAGTTACACTTGTACTCCGTACAGTCTGTATAAACCAAACGCACCACCAAAACAACTGCTTCTCAGTTGCTCACTTCCGCGCCGTCGATCGTCGCTTCTGGCAGCCACTGAGCGAATCGCATCGCGAATTATCCGGCGAGCAATTGGCGGCGACATTGCAGTGTGGCCGTCGCACAAATTGATCTTGCCGTTTCGGCGACGGTGGCCATTTTCGACGTTCCGAGCTTGCTCAAGTAGCCGCCGTAATAAAAGAAAAGAAATAAATTGGGAAGGACAAGTTGTAGGTATGTACATAGCTAGATTCTTTTGGTACAACACAACAACCCAATACATACCTGTGCGGCCTCAGTTCTGATCAAGCCATCTTGGCGCATCAAAGGTTTTTCGCTGCAGTCATGCAAAAAATAAAATGACATAAAATAACGAGATGTCAATAGATTTCCCATACATTATACATACATACATCAAATGGCGAATAGCTTTGTCCATGTCCCCTCTTCACGTCGCCAACGTTTTTGGCTCTAGGGTGGTATGTACAGACAAAGAGGCGGCCAACGCAAAGACCACTTGTTAACGCTGGCAATACATATGATATATGTATGTACTGGCGGGCGATTCGATTTCATCCGTGATTTGATCCCCCCTACCTGTGGTGCCCTTCCGTCAATTTTAAGTTTCAGCCTTGCGACCATATTCCCCCTAGAGCCCAAGCACTTTGATTTCTGATTTCTCGTAAGGTGCTGAACGAGTCAAAAAATAACATCGTCCGATCCCTAGTCAGCATAGTTATCCAGTACCAACAAGTTCGAACTTCGACATCTGCAAACAAAAGACCCCATCGAGAACGTAGGTAGGTCCAAAGTTCAAAAAAGTAGGTTGCCATGAAAAAAGAATTGGACGAACAGGGAATCGAACCCTGGACCACTCCCAATCGTTGCGTTCGTGCTAAGGGAGTATTATACCACTAAACCATTCGCCCCATGTGTGTTGCAACGGGCTGCAGAAACCACACTATAATACCATAGGTTTGAAAAAAGATGGTACATACACACATGAACAGAGCACCAAGGTAAACAATCTTCAACGCCTTCATTCTTAATATCGAAAAGAGTAGATATGATTTCGCTGGAAGTCCAAGTGCATATATGGTATTAGATTCTCTTCGTAAAGCTGTGCCGGTTGATGGGGTGCTTAGGCACGTGATACACAGAAGTCTGAATGTGATTGGTCAATAGCGCGCTACAGAACCTGGCTATGACGTACCTATGTATGTACCTACTACCTAGGCGTCATGAGATCTCTCCAGTTCTTATTTAGTTCCTGTGATCCCTACATGCAAACATTTAGAAGGCGACACCCGCGGAAAGCTCGAGATCATGAAGCGAATTTTCAACTAAGTTCAGTCAATCAACGCTCAAAAATTAAAATGGCCTCATCGGACATCGAATTACGTCAGAAGAGGCTCTATAAAGTACCTCGAGTCAGCACCAGACGCGAAATGGGCACAAGTGGCGGCGCGTGAATTCAACGTGCCGCGAAACCAGCTCATACGACGACCTCAAGGAGTTGGACCACGGAAGGGAATTCATTAGATCAAGGCAAAGCTTCGCGATGTGGATGAAATTGCATTGTGCCGCTACATTGATCGATTAGATCTTGCTTACTTCGATGTGCGGACGGAGTTTATTACGGACGCTGCAAATTACATGCATCTTGCAGCAGAGGTTGTCGTCATCATCGCCTCCGGTTACGGTTGGAAAGTCATGGACTGCCCGGTTCATACAAAGACATGAATATACGAAAGAACTTCAGAAGAAGGTTGATTCCGACCGACACGCATCTGAAGATATTACGCGAGTGGGGCACTACTTCGAGCAGCTTCGACAAGTCATACAAAAGGAAGGGCTTCCTCCAGAAGATATCTGGAATATGGATGAGACAGGGTTTCTCGTATGCGTCGGCAAGGATCACCTTATCGTAACAAAAGAAACAGAAGGGCATCTCTTCAGCATGCCCGAGAATCGCGAATCTGCAACAGCGATCGAAGCTATCTCGGCCGACGGTAACTTTCTCCCTGCCTTCCTCATATTGAGCGGCCAACTTCACATGCCGAGCTGGTATCGCCAGCCCGAGCCAGATGGTTCTACGGTTATCGCCGTAACTCCAACTGGCTACTCCAACGACGAGTTCAGCCTCTCATAGCTGAGACAATTCCAGAAACACGCGATTTCGACGAGCGCGAAACGCCTGTTGATCGTGGATGGTCACGGGCCACACCACACCATCGAGTTCATCGAAATATTGCCAGGAACACAATATTATTCCCTTCGGAATGCCTCCACATCTTACACATTTACTTCAACCACCTGACGTTGCAGTCTTTCAAGTTTCAACCATTGAAGCACTACCACGCCGAGGCATTAGACCACATTTTTCGTGAAGGTGTCGTCAACGTCACAAAATTGGAATTGTTGGTAACGTCAGGTACCGCGGTAAAGTCAAAGGAAAAGTACGAGTTGATGCATAGGAATACGTGACCAAAGTTCTGGGCTGTGGTGTTGTGTATTCATCTTCGTTATGCATCAACTCGTACTTTTCCTTTGACTTTACCGCGGTACCTGACGTTACCAACACTGATGGCTTCCTTGTATGATCGAGGAATTTGGATACCGGCGATCACCTCAGCTGGGAATGCCGACTCATGATCAAGTTCCAGAAACGTCTTGACGTCGGTACTATTCGAAAGTAGATGTGCAATCATGGCGCGCACTCTTTTCGCCATACTCTCTTCCTCGGCTGCATCAGACATGGCTCGTTTACGGGTGGCCCTGGTGAAGTATCTGGGCGGTTCCGATGCTGGAACCGTGCGTGTGGCTTCTTCTTGCTGTGTCTCTTGCCTATGTTCGACATGATCACCTTGGGAATTTTGCAGATCGTCCATGGGATGGTCATCCGGAGTAGCGCCTTCTGTAAGGGCCGTCGGCATTTCCGCAGTCGGAGCAGTCGATGGTGTCTCAACAGTCGGCGTGTCCACGTTTATTTCTTCCAGGGATTGTGTCTCAGTGAGCGGTTCTGCAACAATTGGTGCCTCAGCATCATGGTAGATGGTCTGAGCTCAGCCGACGCAGTCATCATCGACGAGCATGGGACTGCTGCCGCGGTTTGGGCCCATCTTCAGAAAAGATACGCCAAGACGAGCGCATCTTACGCAAATGAATACATGGCGAAGCTCCACAACTTCGTCTATGATCAGGAGGCGGGAATCGACGGAGCCTGGACCGAGCTCAAGGAGATTCGCCGCAAGATTATCGCAGCGGCCCCGGAAATGAAGAATGCCTACCCCGACGCAGCGCTCTTCATCCTCCTCACTACAGCCCTCCGGAAGCAAGGGCGCTACGCATACGTTCTCGACTCGTTTCTGAGCAACCGATCCCTGTCGGTCCCTGAGAAACTCAGGGTCCTCGAGGAGAAAGAGGCCGAGCTGCTGGTCTCCTACGGTAGCAAGGAATACGCCAACGCGGCACAGCGTCAGAAGAGGCCCGGTCCTGTTGTGGAGCTTCGCCATGTATTCATTTGCGTAAGATGCGCTCGTCTTGGCGTATCTTTTCTGAAGATGGGCCCAAACCGCGGCAGCAGTCCCATGCTCGTCGATGATGACTGCGTCGGCTGAGCTCAGACCATCTACCATGATGCTGAGCCACTTGGCGTTTGCATGGATCCATTCCTTCTTTCTTTCAATATTCCACGATCCTACCAATCTTTCGAAGCGATTGGTCAGATCGTCCATTTCTGGATCGTCCGATGCTGTGGCCGCCGATGCTCCGGCAGCCGATGCCGCGCCGGCCGATGCTGTAGGTGTCGTGTTGACGGCACCGCCTTCTCGCTCTATCCAAGCATACTCGTGCTTGGTAAACTGCAGGGCGATGGTCACGTCCTTGCTCTCGATTGCAATCTTGACTCGGCGTAGCCAGTCTTGGTGGTTTTCGCGATCGAGGATGGGCAATGCCCGGCGTTCTTTCCCCATGTTGGAAAGGAGGGGGGGGTCTTTTCTTACTTTCGTTTGCGAATTATTTCGGTTGTCCAGCAGTCTTCCTTATCGCTGGGCTCCGGCACTTGCTCTTAGTCGGAGGCTTTATTCGACTTTCGTTTGCGAATTATTTCGGTTGTCCAGCAGTCTTCCTTATCGCTGGGCTCCGGCACTTGCTTTTAGTCGGAGGCTTTATTCGACCTTGCGTTTGTCGATTGTTAACAAGTCGCGTCTACTTGCGGCTCCCGGGCTCATAACCTATTAAATGGGTGCACAGTGGTAGACGCCTTATATTCACTATAAGGTGACTCAATGTTGAATAGTCTACAAAATACTAGAATGGATTCTCGTCAAGGGTGACTCGAATACTCTTTTGTCTGGTCACGTGATGTTGCCCTGACTAACCCAATCCGTCAACACCGCAGTTTACACTGCGATTCCTCAACAGAATTGGTTGTTAATAAAAAAGAAGGGCAGGAAGTGCCATGCAAGGCGGGCATCCGAAGTACTCCGTACCTATGTACATATCTAGGTAGGTACATATGTAGTTACGGTACCTAGGTACTGTACCTCTATGGCCCGGGCACCTGGCTCCATGCGTCGGTACCTGGTACCTAGGCACGTGAACGCAGCCAAATATGTAGACAGATTGGAAGTCGCCAATCGCCATACATACACTCTTCAGATTCTATTATTACACTCGGATTCATCACTCACTGAAACTTGGAAGTCGCGGATGAGCCCGCCCATGTCAGGTGACGGGTTCGTGTCCGCGCATGATTCTCATCTGTAAACCTGCCATGTTCGTGCTGAGTCCTGACATTTTATCTTCGCCAACATCGCCGCCATCTCGCATCGAGGAGTTCAATAGCCAGTAGACCCCAGGCAGGTCACGGGTGATCTATCAGCATGGAGTGGCAAGCTTAGAAAGCCACCCAGGAAAAGGCCTCCTCTCTACCCCCCGACATGAGCCCTATGCCAACTCAGAGTCGGAAAATACACAAGAGATCTTTGTCCGACACGCTGAACAGCCCGCCGAATTGCAAGAGAGCGAAACAAACCCCGGTTTCGGTGCCCGCAAGCTGCCCCTCTCGCAGTCGGCTCTCGCTCCAAAATCTGCCGTTGGAATTGCTCGAGAGCATTTTCTTGTACTCGATGAATCTGGCTCTCCCTCGCTCCAGTCCTTTGTTGGGGGCCAAACTTTCAGGGAAAACTACACTTCTTCGGGTGTTCATGACGGCATTCCACGATATCTGGGATGTAACTCTCGAAGAGTATGTGCTGGACTCTCGTCCTGAGTGGAAGTACTGGAGGTATGACAATGAGGATGTCCAGGACGAAGCCTCTATCCAGGTAAATTCTATTGCATATATTGCACATCCTCTGACGCAAGGAACATGGTCCGCTTGCTTTCTTCTCCGTTCTCTGACAGGCCCCTAGTTTGCTTTACTATCAATGCCCTAGGCGGACATTGATTTCATCCTCGACGCGCAGCAAGCCTGGGCAGACAAATATGCTCTAGGCAGATCATTTGATCACGCCAATGACTGGGGCGGCCTTTCCATGGAGGGCACTTCCTATGCCCCTCTAAGTTACCAGCAGCATGTTCTTCAGCATTCTCTGGGAAAGGTGACGTTCGATGCTCGCGCTTGCTTCGAGGCCGACTACGATAGAGCTCTCGCATATCGAGTTTCGCCAGACAACTTCGCGTTTGTCACCATCTTTGAAATGCCAGAACTTACTCCTCCTGTGGCACCCGTGAATCTCATCACTGGGCCGTGGAACGAAGAGCAGAAACGTCGTCTATTCTGGCTCGTTCGTGCAAAGCTTTTATATGACATGAAACTGGACCCTCTATTTCTTGGCCCGCGTGCCGTGCAAGTGAAACTTGCCTGTCTTGACACTGCAGTGATTTCTGCTGAGCAACTGGACCCTCTCATCATAAACTGCCT